TGGAGGAAGGAAAGGTTTCTATGGAGGAATGGAAGGTTTCTATGGAGGAAGGAAAGGTTTCTTATGGAGGAAGGAAAGGTTTCTATGGAGGAAGGGAAGGTTTCTTATGGAAAAAGGAAAGGCTGATCCCTTCAGTCCTCCCCAGCCGCCCATCACCCCTCTTTGTCCAGGACGGAGCGGGGAGGCCAGAGGAGGGTCTGGCTCTCAGTGGGTACCTGTATTTATTGGGGAACATCCTCTCACAGTCCTTGCACTCGTAGACCTGTCCATCTCCGAGCCCTTCCTGCTTGATGTCGTCGCTGAGGCTGTCGTACAGGGCCCCCACGGCACCGCAGCCGTACTTCTTGTGGCGCCGCAGGTCCAGCTTGGACTGGAAGAGCTCATCGCAGTCCTCGCAGCGGAACGAGGGCTCCTCTGCAACACACACAGCAGCCCATGGTCAGCCCTGCCCCAGGAAACACAACCAGCGCGGGCTGTGGCACCCAGAGAGGAGGCAAAGCTCCCCGAGCCCAGCAAACAAACAAACAAAGAGAGAATTTGCAAGTGAGAGGGGAGAGAACCCAAGGGAGGCTGTGCCAGCAGCTGCTTTCACTTTAAGCATTAAGAGGAAAAAAAAAAATCAGATCACACAACCAGAGGAGATCTTGTTTTCTTTGTGTCTTGGCCACTGCTGAAATGGAGAGACCTACAGGGATTGGGAGATACACAAAATTCTGGGCTCATTCTGGGGTGCTGCACTTGTCTGCAAGGAGGGGGTTTGAAATTATGGATGAGTTTTCCTCAGATGGGGCTGCCAGGGAAAAAGGAACAAGCCAGACTCATAAACACAGATAGTGAGGAAAGCAAACTGCCACAGCACCAACCTGGAGAAGCTTCTTTCTAAGGAATTGTCTGTCTAGTGTTCTCCTTTCAATTTTCCACTGCAGGAGCTCAGGCTCCATCAGCCCGAGGAGTCCCAGCCCAGAGCACCATGGAAGGAAGAGCAGGGAGCCAAAGGCTTTGTTGCTGTGCTCTTTGCTTTTTTTTTTTTTTCTTTCTTTTTTTTTTTTTTTAAAGTACTAATGCACATAATAAATTACTGTAGTCAAGGTCAAACAAATTAAAAAGAGGGCAGCTATTATTAAGTTTACAAGGCAGCATCCTGACCGTGGTGCCAAGCCAAACAATCAGCTCAGAGCTGTAAATTTTCCAGGAGAACAAGCTCTGGGAGGGAGTCGGGATAGCTCTGGGTTTCTCCACCCTGGAACAGAAGCTTTCCAGCCCCCTGTGAGTCACTGGAGCTGCGTTTCCCTGTCCTCCCCTACCCCCTTCCTCCACGCTCTGCTGCTCTGCCTGCTTCTCTTTCCCTGATAACTGCACTCCCAGAAGGAACAGCCTGTGGTGAGTGCATTATCTCCCAGGGAGGAGTGGGAATATTCGGAGAGCTGCAGCCAAAGGAGATGCTGTGCTGGAGCTGATCCACTCCCTGCCTGCACAGAGGGGCTGCTGGGGTGGGATGTGGCCATGCTCACGTTCTCGGGGCAAAATCTTCAACCCCCGTGCTTCAAAGTTCCCCCTTGCACTTTTTTGCACCAAATTTTGCACAACTGCAAAGATTTAGGCTGAGCTTTAAGGCCTGGAATGGCGTTTTAAATAAATCAGGGTTAATTTTGTTATGAGCTAGCAAAGACTTAGGCTGAGCTTTAAGGCCTGGAATGGTATTTTATATAAATCAGGGTTAATTTTGTTATGAGTGTGATGGGCACTAGCACACCCAGAGACCTCTGTGCTCCCACCTGGGCGCTCAACTCCAATCTCCCTTTTCTCTGCTTAAACCTGAGTTTAAAACTGAGCAAGGCAAGGTGCCAGAGGCTGCAGCAGCAGCGATGTGGGCAGAGGAAACCCTCTGCACCCTCTGCACCCTCTGCACCCTCTGCACCCTCTGCACACCTACACGGAAAGTATCGACACGGGGAAAATCAAACCCAGCTGAAAAAGAAAGTATCACCAAAGCTCAGCCAGCACAGCCTGGCTGAGCCAGGTGGCTGAGCCACCCTCAGTATTTGATGGAATGACAGACAAATGATAAATATCCCCTGTGGTAACTGGAGAGAAACAGAACTAAATGTAGGTGGAATTTCAGGAGTGTCATTACACCAAAAAGATTGGGGTTTGCACATAGGGTGATGTGGAGAAACATCTCTCGCTACTCATTGATTTTTTTCCTGAATGATAGAACTTGACACAAAACTTTACTCCTATAGAACTAAAGAGAACTCCTATAAAACTAATTTTGGGGGTCTGGCAGAGGTTTTAGCATCCCAGCAGCCTGCCCACAGCTCCCAGAGCCACCCATACCCACAAGGATGATCCCACAGCACCCACAGGGCTGCACAACAGAGGGGTGCAAAAAGAAATAAAGTCCAGCCAGTTAACAAAGGGATTTTGACTAGAAAAGAAAAGCTGAGGGAAGAAAATGCCCAATTGCTCTCATTTCAGCTCATTTTGAGAGTTTACACTCTCAAATTTTTAGCAGCCTCACCATGAGGTGGGTCAGGCTCTGCTCTGCTCCGCAGAGAAATTCTCTTTACTGCATTTTGTAGAACAGGACCAATGTGTATTTCATGTGTGTCATGTCCCTGGGGAGGGAAACCTGGAAATCAGGACACCAATAACAGTATGGAGAGACTCTGCATCACCTACCATTCAAATACTCCAAACTACTTTTCAGGAGTGAAAAGAAGAAAAAAGAAGAAGAAAAAATTGTAGCATCAAACTCCAGAGACATGGAACTTCTCTGGTGAAGTGTTTCTCCACCTCAGAGCCAACATTTCCCCTCTTTGCTCTCTTGTAATGCAGCAGTGGCTTAACCAGGCAGGAATTTTTGGAGGAGTGACTGAAATCCTCCAGGCTGGGAAGCCCCAGGTCCCTTCACCTCTTAACAAGCTCCTACCAAACTCCCAGTGTCTTTCAAGCTCCACCTGGCAAATCCCCAGACCTGAAAACACTTGGAATGGAGGAAACAGGTTTTTTGGTTTTTTTTCTTTTCCTTTTTTTGACTTCAGAGAAAACACAACAAAATTCCTTCTACCAATCCAGGTGGAATTCTTCCTGCTCCAGTTTGAGAGTTACTTGATTAATTACAGCTTATTTCACCCAAACTCTGCTGTAGGAAGCAGAAATCCTCTCTGGGTTTGGAAAAGCAGCCATGGAGAGTCATTTCCTCCATCCCTGGCTAAAGCTGGGCAAGTGCCTCCCCTCCCGCAGCACACCCTGGCACTGCCCTGCCTGCTCTTCCCAATGACAAGGACACATTTTTGTCCTTTCTGGGAGTTCACAGAGCAGGGAAGGAGGTGAAATATCTGAATTATCTCAAGAATATTTTGGAAAAGAGATTCAGCTTCTAATTCTCCCGGTCCTTGGCCATATCTCACCCAAATCACACAAGATCCAAGAGGACATCAAACACAGCAGGTGGAAAGATGGAGGAGAGGAAAAGCAAATCCTGTGCTTGAGAGCATCTGGGTTTGGAAAAAGAAATTTGTATTGAAAGGAGGCTTAGAGAGCTGACAAAAATATGATGAAAAGCCTTGTAGCCACGTGTTATTCATGTTGCCACTGGCTGTAAATCCTGTTTGGATGCTCAGACAGGCTGAAGAGAGGAAAACCAGATCAGGTGGGAGAGCAGCTGAGGGTGGGGAAGCCCTGGGAGAGCAGCTGTGGCTGCCCCTGCATCCCTGGAAGTGCTCAAGGCCAGGTTGGAGGGGGATGGAGCAGCCTGGGATGCTGGAAGGTGTCCCTGGCCATGGCAGGGGCTGGGATAAGATCATCCTTCCAGCCCAAATCATTCCCTGATAACTGATCCATATCCAACCCCATTCCTCTGGCATTCCCAGCTCCAGGCCCCAGCAGATCCCAGACTCCCCAACAATCACCCTGCAGGAGAAGGACCTGGCTTAGGACCAGAGCATCTCCTGCCAAACCGAAACCTAAACCAGCACGGAGGCTCGGGGCTGAGCTGAGACCTGCTGCTGATTTTGTGTCTCTATCACACACCCACTTGGTAGGCTCCAGGTTCATTCAACTGTTCCTTTTTTTCCCTTTCTGCAAATACCAAAAATAAAAAAGGTCGCCCTTCAAAGCAAGTTCTCATTAAAGTTTTCCTCTTTTTTTTTTTTTTTTTTTTTTAAGCATCTCAAACGAAAATGCTGCCCTTCACAAAGGTGACTGTGTGACAGGGAGAAGGGGCTGCAAAGAAAAGAACAACCCCAGTCACACCGAAATTGCTGCCTGCTCTCTGCGCCGTGTTTGTCAAATCTATGGTTATATGTGCCTATCTGAAGTTCCATCAGCAACACTCAGGACAAAGCAGGAATGTAACAGAAAAATAAATCAGTGCCTAATAGCTTTCAGAGAAACCAAGGGGAACACAATTATGTGGCATCTACATGCTAATCTACCAGACTCGAATCTCAAAGGAGTTCAAGTGCCCTACTCAAAATTCCTGCAGTGATAAGGGGTCTGCTGTGTTTGGCTGGGGTTGGGAGGAAAGATTTTTATGATAATTATCTTTGTGTGGAACGATTTTGCATTTTCTCTCCTGTTAATTCCAAAGTGAGCTGGGGGTGCGAGGCAGCAGGAAGATAGCCCTGCTGAAAGTTAAAAAGTATTAAGGAGTCAAATATTTAATGTTGGCCTGGCATAATTTGACAGCAATTATGCAGCAAAAGCACTAGACGTTACCAGGAAGATCCAGATAAATGTTTCATAATGACAGAGGTGGAAAACAAGGAGCACTTTTTGCTTGTTCACATAAAAAACTGTTAGGAACTGAAATGCAGAACAGTGGTGAGTTTTCATTCAGATTTCTCCTTGACATAAAAAAAAAAAAACAAAAAAAGAAGTGCAGAAATTATTCATCTCTGTGTGTTGGTCTTGAGAAAATCATTAACTTTTTTTGGGGGGAGAACAGAGAGAAAATAGTCCCAAACTTGATATGAGTGAGGCAGGAAATACCACACTTCACCCCCCAGCCCTTCAGCAAACGAACTTCCAGCAGCACAAACTATCCCATTTTCCAGAAATATTGGAAACTGATTTTGCAGGATTTTACTGCAAATTTGCATGAGAAATAATACTTATGTGCAGGTAAAAGAAAATAAATGTATTGTGAGATATCCAGAGAGAACTGCAATTTCATAAATTAATTTTATAGAGCATTATTTCCAACCACTAGTTTAAAAACACCTGGTAAAAGAGAATTGACAAGTACTTATAGAAATTATTTATAGAGTATTTATAGAAATAAATCATGGAATAATGATGTTGGGCACATCCTTCCCAGTTTTCCTCAGAGGTCACCTCCTTGCACAGCATCTGTAGTGTCAGAGCCTTGGATGAATATGGGAAAAAAGCAATCTAAGAGAGGAGAATCAGTGCTGGGAGCACTCTTGGATTTCCAGAACACTCCATGTGTGTGTCCTGCTACCTGCTCACACTGCTGCAGAGGAAGATGAGGTTTTTATCCCAGCAATAATCATTTTAGTGATGACTCTTCCACCCCCTGCCAGCACCCTTCTTTTCCAGATTCCCTGAACCTCTGCAGGCTGGTGTTTACCAAGCCTTGGGGTGGTTTGGCCATTTTTAGTACACCTGGTGGCCCTGAGGATGGAAAAGGCACCTCTGCTCATACCCAAACCCACAAAGAGAAGGAAATGGAGCTGCTTGAGGCTGATAAAAGCTCAGAATTGTGGACTGAGCCTCTCTCACCAGGAAAAGAGTGAAAAGGAGCACAAAATCCAGAGAGTGGCAGAAGGGGCAGGTCCTGGCTCGGGTTGAGGAGAGAGAAGCAGAAGCTCCTGGGGTGGCCTTACCTTCCATGCTGGGTGCCATGTTCCCGAGGGAATAACCTCCTTCCTTCAGACACACCAGGAGCTCTTCCCCCGGCTCAATCTCTTTAATAACTTTATAATAGACCTGGGAATCACAAACAGAACAGACAGGGTAAATATGCAAATGCTTGTGGTTTATATTTGAAACAAGAATTCAAATTACTTTGGCAAATAGGGGAGGCTGTCCCTTGATTTGGGATAATTGCTGCTCAGAGCTCGTTTTCCTGCCTTTATTTGACTCAGAGTTTCAGAGGTTTCGGACAGTAAAAAAATATTTTGAGCAACAGACTTTCTCCTTCAAATTACAATAAATCTTCCTTTATTTCCCTGTCCTCCTATGAGCTCAGTGTGTTTGTCACAGGGAAGGGAAGATGAAGCTGATGGAATTGTCACGTTTAAGGCTCTGCTCTCTGAGGCAGAATTGGCCCCATGGTTAGAGCTGAATGATCACATCTCCACAGAATTATTTTGTTGATTGTTCTCCCCACCAGCCCAGACCTGACCCCTAAACACAGGCATGAACCACTCCAGGTCAGCAGTTTGTCCACATTCTGAGCTTCCGGCTGAGCTCATTTCTGGGGATTCCACTGCAAAATAAAAAATCGTCTAAAATTTTCCTTTTTCTCATTATTTTTTTCATTTGCACTTCAGTGCTCCTCCCTGCTTGCTCTACAAAAAAAGCTTTTCCCAGGACCAAACCACAGTGAACTTAAGGGGGAAAGTGTCTGAAAAACCCTAAAAGGCAGCCTAGGAATGAGCCCAGAGCTCAGGACTGACTTGGAAAAACAGAACTTGGGATGGACCAAGCTAAGAGAAAAAAATGAAATGAAATAATGAAATGAAATGAAATGAAATGAAATGAAATGAAATGAAATGAAATGAAATGAAATAATAAAATAAAAACCAGCCTAGACATGACCCCTAAACACAGACATGAACCACTCCAGGTGAGCAGTTTGCCCACGTTTTGAGCTCCTGGCTGAGCACGGATCCTGGACTTTACACAATGTCCTGAGCACAGCTCTGTTCACCTCCTGGACCTTTGTCACTGTCCAGGAGAAAATCCCAAAACAGAAAGAGGGCTCAGAGAGGGGCAGAGCCACACACCTCATCTCCACTGTCCCACAGACACCAGGGCAGGGGGTCCAGTGACAGCTGGGTCACACCTGAGCCTCATTCCCCAGCTGCTCCGGCAGCTCTGTGTCTTTTGTCCTGAGGAGATTCAGTGTCCTCCAGATGTTTTCCAAATTTTTGGGGGTATTCTGGACCCATCCTAACACAACACCCTGAGAATTCACCTGGTAACTGTTAACAACTTCCAGGTTTTCTTAGCACTGCGTTGAACATCAATTCAAGCAACTCTTTTTTAGGCTAAAAACTGCATTTCACCCAGAACAATTCCTGAATTTTGCTGCCTCTGCCTCTGCCAGTCTGCGCTTATGGGGAAAGAACACACACAGCTCCTAAATTCCTGCCCGGCTTGCATTAATTGTGTCAGCACCGTGCATTTCTGTCCCCAGAGTCCCTTTCCCTCCCTCCCTGGCACGGAACACGAGGCTTTGGCAGATGCGTGGCACTGGCCCGGCGGGAGCAGCGGCTGCCCGGGATGCTCCCAAAATTGTCCAACCCCGGCTGCGGGGAGATGGGATCGCAGGGACGGGGATGCGACTGCAGGGACGGGCGGCTGCAGGGACAGGGGAGGTGCAGGGAGGCTGCAGGGACAGGGGAGGTGCAGGGAGGCTGCAGGGACTGATCCTAAAGATGCAGGGACACGGGACACCGCTCCCAGACCTGCAGGGACAAGGGGACATCACCCCCAGAGCTGCAGGGACAAGGGGACACCGCTCCCAGAGCCACCACGCGTGGGGTGCGGTTGCCGCTCAGAATTTTCCCTCCACACTGAGGTCAGGAAGCTCCCGACCCATCACCCCGAGTTCCACCGAGGATCCGCCCCGGACCCCGCACTGGTCCCCGGTCCCCGGACCCCGCACTGGCTACACAGGAGCGCCCGCAGCTCCACGAGCAGAGCCGATCCCCATCCTGCGGGATAATTACGATCCCCGTCCTGCGGGATAATTACGATTCCCATCCCTCGGATAATTAACTCGCTCTGTCGCCCCCGCCGCTGCCCGGCGGCTCCCGATCCCGATCCCGATCCCGATCCCGATCCCGATCCCGATCCCGATCCCGATCGGTTGGCGAGGGGCGAGGGCTCCCAGCAGCCGTACCGGGGCTGTCCCCGGGACACACCGAGGAAAAGTTGCCGGTGGAACGCGGTCCCGCAGCTGCCGGGACAGGGAGCAGGATGGGGATCGGGATAGGGATCGGGACTGGGATCGGGGCTGGGATCGGGGCTGGGATCAGGATCGGGGCTGGGATCGGGGCTGGGATCAGGACGGGGATGGTGTCGGGGTCGGGCCCGGAGCGCGGCCGCTGCCCGCCCCAGCAGGTGGCAGACGCCGCCCGCCACCGGCGCCGCCGCCGCCGCGGGGACCCCGCCGGTGCCTCGGAGCCGGTCCCGGGCAAAGCGAACGGAGCGGGCCGGGCCGGGCCGGGCCGGGCCGGGTTCCCCTGACCTGCTCGCTCCTGTCCCGCGGCCGCTGCGCTCCTCCGGTGCCGGCGGCCGGGCCGATCCGGGAGAGGGCAGGGAAGGGAAGAGGAGGGAACGGGAGGGGAGGGAAGGGAAGAAGGGCAGCCGGGCCGTGTCTGTGCAGCAGCTCCAAGGCCGGGCAGAGGAGCCACAGCCGCCCCCATGAACGGGGAGCTGCAGCCCTTATCGACAGCTCCGGTAGCGAGTGCTGTGACACAGCCCTTACCGGGGGTACAGCCCTCACTGAGCATCCCGCAGAGCCCTAACGGAGTGCTCTGACAGAGCCTTTACCGAGCAGCCGGTACAGCCCTAACTGAACACCCTGCACAGCCCTAACCGGGAGCTCCGGTACAGCCCTTACCGGGGGTACAGCCCTCACCGAGCACCCGGTACAGCCTTTACCGCGAGCTCCGGTACCGAGTGCTGTGAACACAGCTCTTACCAAGGATACACACCCGGTACAGCCCTAACCAGAAACTCCGGTACAGCCCTGACCGAGTGCTTTGACACAGCCCGTACCGGGGATACATCGCTTACCGAGCACTCGGTACAACCCTAACCGGGAGCTCCGTACATCCCTTGCCGAGCACTCGGTACA